TATCTATCATTTGTAATTTTAACCAACTATTGATTTATATTATATATTCTATTTAATACCAAGTAAAACAAATAAAATTGTATTTGGTGGTTTGGAGGGCACACTATGATGATAAAGTTTTAAAAATCAGTATTTTAAAATAAGACAAAAACATCTTGTCGCTAATAAGAAATACTGCAGGCAGTACATGTTTTTCAAACGTAGCTATTCTTTTACTGAAATGAGTAACAATTTTGGAAATTTGCAACATAAAAGCACTTTCTTCATTGTAAACTGTTCTTACTTTTACCTCCAGTGTTGTTCACCTTTATGTCTTTTATTTTTCCAATGAAGTCATTTAAGATATTCTAATAAATGCTTCCACTTATCGAGCACAGATTATGGGCAGACTTCATAACAAATATGAGAAATATATTCATCTCACAGTGGCCCTGCAGTCAGAACTTCTTTTGCTAAGAAAATAAGGGTAGGAGAAAAATTCGTACTATTCTTTCTGTCCTTTTTTTAAAGTCTCCTCTGTATATACATCTTTTTTTTTTTTTTAAAGTAGTTCAGTTTAAGAAGAAAAAACACACCAGGTATGGTGATGGCACCTATAGCCCCAGCTAGCTGGAAGGCTGAGGCAGGAGGATTGCTTGCACCCACGGATTTGAAATCAATCTGGGCAAAACAGTGAGATTTTGTATCAAAAAACAAAGCAAAAAAAGAAAGAAAGAAAGAAAGAAAGAAAGAAAGAAAGAAAGAAAGAAAGAAAGAAAGAAAGAAAGAAGTAAAAAAAAGCCACCACACCCTTAGCTATTTTTTTCCACATATATTAGGTCAACCTACTATGACTGATGATTTTTCCCACAATGGACAAAAATTTAAGATTTTGGTTTTCAGTCATTGAAAATGTAAATAAAAAGCATTTACTAAACATTAAAAATGACCCCCTAGAGCCTTTAAATTTTAAATTGACTCAAGGATAGCCCCAGAGATATCAACATGTACATTTTAACCCGTATCAAACACTGCTTTGAGCCCTCAACAAATTCGTAACGGTCATTTCTTGCTTCTTCCTGACTTACTTAGGTCTTCTTATAAATGTGGTGCTGGAAGGCTGTGTAATCGCTCTTTCGTCTCCCCTTTCTGCTTGTTCTCTTCCCACCCACTGGACAATGTACTTCAGTCAGTTATATGTAGAACTAAATTAAATTATTGACCTCTTTAAAAACCAGATATTCATTAAGCAGGAAGTTATTTTATAAAGGTGCAATAGTATTTCATAGAATAGGATGACTCCTAAGGGGCAGGTTAATTTCTATAAACAAAAGCACATTTTTATCCCTAGAAAATTTAGGCAAGGTTCACACTTACGAATTCTACAAATTATTTAAATCAAATTGAAAAGGGCAAAAAGCTCCTATATTTTTTAAGAAACAATGGTCAAAATTATTTTAAAAGAAATTATGTTCTTTAACCTATATTCAAGTGAGAAGACAGGTAATCTTCAGGATTGCCTATCTCTTGAAAAATGGGAATTCCCTTCATTTTCTCTATGTTAAATATAATGAAATTCCTTATATAGGACCAGATATGTATTCTCCCCCTATTTAAAATTTCCTTTTTTCACATACATATAGAATTGCTAGTGACATTAGCAAAGTTCCCAATGGAAAAAGGCCAATAAATAAATCAGTAATGGGTACTAAATAATGCAATTATGCAATATGGTTCGTTCATCCAATTGTTCATTTTTTCATCCACTCATTCATTCTTCAAATATTTATTAAGTGTCAACTATGCACAGTGTTGTAGATACTGAGAATACAGTAATGAAGAAAACATAAGAAATCCCTGCTCTCATGGAGCTTACATTCTAGTTCTTCAAAAGGTTGCCCAAGCTAAAATATAAGTATTCAAATGTAAGAGGAGAGCTTTTTTCAGACCTCTGTTAGATGCCCTAGGAGAGCCAAGGTTACAATAAATACTTCACCTAACACTTGCAATATGTATTTTTGTCAAGATGAAAACATCCTGGTTAGTGCATTAATTTCCTAGTATTTCAATTTATACAACTACCAATTTTCTTCAGTTTAGCCTTTCTATTATTTCTGACAAACTCTACTAGTTCCTTAAAGAGCGTAAAAGAGAAATAATGCTTTTTCAATTTCCAATCTAATTGCTGATCCTTAGGTATCAAACTATCAGTCTTCATAACAGCAAGTTCTTTGTTACAGAACTGGCTTCAAAATTATAGGACTATTTGTCACTGGTGTCTATTAGTTAACCACTTCCCGGTACACCAGTATCTGAAAGAGTTATTACCTATTTTCTTGGCATTGTGACTTCTCTCCTTTTCAGTGCCCCATGACCCGGACTCCTACTTCCTAATCAGCAGTAATATGAGGTAAAGGCTATCATTAGAAACTAGACTTCCCTTGACACAGACTAGCACTAATGTTCATTTGGCATTGTCAGTGTGGTAAATGTGTAACTTCGAAGTCATACTGTCTTCATCTTAATTTTGTCAGGCTCAAGGAAAAGGTAGCAAGAAATGAAAATACGGCAGGCCTTCACAAGTCCTTAGAAACATTAGCATAAAATTCCACAAAGAGAGAAGGCTGACGTCCTTCTCCTTTATTGTATGTATACTTCCAATTATTGCTTTGCTTTTGTTTTTTCTTCTCTGTTCAGCTTCTTTTCTTTAACAAGCCATGATAGGCATGGGATACATATTATTTACTGACTTCTGTTCCCATTTTCAACTTAAAAAGCGGACAATTAATATTTCATCTTTTTATGCTGAAACAAAAAACTGTGCTTTTTGGTTTTTTTTTGCCCAGTCGGGGCCAGGTTGGGGCAGGGGGCCCATAGTCCTTGAAATTTCTTTCAGATTATTAATTCAGTTAACTGAAATTCGATCTTGGCAAGCATAAATACTATCTTAAAAAATAGAACAATAATAAACATTGTACTTTTTTAAGAATCTACACCAAAAAGGCATACAAAATTCATAAGGCATACTATAAAAGAGAAATATTTCATGGTGAAAGAAAGTAAATTAAAATCTAGCCAAATAATTTTTTTAAAGTGGAATAGAAATAAATGCATTCAAAGGAAAAGAATTATCATTTTTATACACTAATAGTAAGGATTTTTCACTCCTAAAATCAGTCTTCAAGCAGATTTTCTCAGAAAATTATTATTTTCCATTTTACAGCTTCTCTCTTCAGTAGATACTATCAACTGTAAATTGATTAAAACACTTCATTTCCAAGAAATTAAGTATCACCCTAAAAAACTATATAATCCCCATCATATCAGAATGTCACAGTATTTTTTTACCACACAAAAACTATAATAATTATAACTTATTCTTTATTTATAATCCTTCTACAGAAATAATCAGGAGTTAGCCTTACCAGGAAATTATACATATTATGAATACAAATTTTAATCAACTACTGATTAGTCTATTAGGTTGCAAGTATTTCTAGAACATGATATCACAAATTGTCATTAATTCCAAAACAATAGTTTATTAACAAAAAAGTACAAAGAAGTACAAGTGGACATCCTACTTCCTCCCATTATGGTCTATCTATCTCCCTTTCAGTCCATGACATGGTCTTCTGAAGCTGTAAGCACAGGTGAAATACTTTTGTTTCCAACGGGCCTTCATAACCATCCAAAAACAAATCACTGCATTTAAGATATAAAAGCCCCTTCCCTTGTAAAATACTATATGTCTAAAGTGAACAAAATAGACCAGTTTCAATACCCACAAGTCATGTTTAGACATAGGAAATACTGTTATCACTAGTACTGTATGTTTGCCTTGAAGTAGCAATTGACAAGTTAAAGTTCAGAGGTCTCAAAAATGATTTTTCTACGTAAGTACAAAAAACACTTCAAAAGAGATCAAAAGCTTCTTGTTGGCTGAACCAGATTGAGGTACATGGAAAATATTCACCTTACTTGTTGTGCTTTTTGCACTGATTGTAAATCAAAGCTCCTCAAAGATCTAATCTTATTGCTACTAATTCAGTATTTTCAAGGGTAGTTCTTTTTCAACTTCTTTCAGCAAACTTAAAATTTTTTCCATATTTCTTTCTACAGACCTGAAGTGCTGCTCTGAGCCATGGCAAATGCCAATACTCTGTGATTTCTCTCTCAGTGTTCCTTAAAATACCAGTATGGATGAGGAGATTCAGTAAATTGCCATGTTCAATAAATAATGTTCCTAAAAACAGAACATGTGGTTTTCTTCACTGATGGTTTTGAAAGCCTTGCGTAGAATGTTAGATTACAAGTGTTTCTGAGTGGTAAGCTTCAGCTTTGGTTTTTGGAGGGAGCCAAGTCAGAACACTACACTTCTTACACAGAACTATTCTTATAAAGAACATGAGTTCAGTGTTAGACTAGACTGTGGTATTATAAGGGTGCTATACCAGTGACACATTTTTAAAGAGCTGGAAAATTCAGATGACCACTCACTAAACATAAAATCATCATTCCACAAAGATTTTATTCACATTAAACTTGCACAGTAGCAAAAAAATTAAAATTAAAAAACTTTAAAAAACATAAAACTAAGCCACATATCAAAGAACAATGTACAATAAAGATTTAACTTCTCAATGCCATTGGAAGGTATTTCCATAAATAACATTTACAATTCTAGTGTTAGGTCTTTCAAGGTGTCTGAAGCTTCACAGTGCTAGAATTGATTTTTATCAGAACACATGCAAAAATGTGCAACATAATAATCCATATTAATGACACAAAGAAAGCAGGCCAGTTATTTGTCATTCCAGCATGGCCATGCCATTCTATGTTCTAAAAACAAACAATCCCCCAAATCCAGGTCCCATTCATTCTTCAATTATGCCTTTTGTCACTCTGCTTTATTATATTCAAACAGTCACTGTTAGTGCTCTTCACCACGACTTTCAGGTTGATGTCACTCCCTGCCTGCTGGCTGTCAGGACTGGGGGACGCCCCTCTCCCAGACTCACCTTCTTCCGGATGTCTTCATCATTTGCTCCAAGAGAAGCATAGAGCTTGAATGCAGCCTGGCGGAGTTCATGAGCATGTTTTAAGTCATGATCAAGCTACAGAAGAAAAAAAAGGAATGTTCCACCTCAGTCCATAAATTAAATTTTCAATTAAAAAAAACAATATAAAGAAAAAATTTGTTAACAACTACTAAACACGTTAATTTTGCCACTGAATTTCCTAGTTATTTGAGGGTTTTGCTCACATATGACTGGCACCTTCCTGTGTTTGAGTCAGCATGACCTGAAATACAGCCTTCTTCTAAGAAAAAAATCCACAACATTTGACAACAATATATGAAAAACCTTTGTGAATGTCTTGGTCCCTAAAAATGCAGTGTTCCCACATAATTTTAGCAGTTCTGGTGCTTGCTTGCAGCAGCTATTTGAAATGCTCCCCTCAAAAAGAAGGGGCCTTTCTGGTCCAAGACTGTAGCTGATAAACTGAATGCTATTCGACTGATGTTTTCAAGAGGTTTATCTAAAATGAAGAGTAAGTACTGTTGGCCTAATTTCAGCATTTGAGAAGCTTATGGAAACAGGGACTCTGGTGAAAACTGAACAAACAATATTCTATGGCAACCATTACTGTCTATTACCTAACACTTATGTTCAGGGCATTTTTTTCCTTCTTGTTGTTTTGGATTTTTAGAGAATTACTGTAATTCAATTAATATTATCTTTCTACATACATATATAGTTATCAATTCTACCATAAATCTGATTTATCCACAAACTACCATGAAAATAAAAGAGGCCCATCTTCAAGTACTTTTAATGACTGTCATATAATTTAATGATTATAATATAATATAAATTGGTATACTATCAATATAATTTTGTTTGCTTTCTTTTTTGGTACCGGGAATCAAACTCAGGACCTCGCACTTGCCAGGCAGGTGCGTATGCCACTGAGCTATATCCCTGGCCCCCAATATAATTTTAAACTAGAAGCCGTAACTTATTCATCCAAATGAGTACTACTTTTTTCAATGGAGTTACCTTGGAGAGATTAACACTATTCTATGTTGTAGGTGCTGCTCAAAACATTTTAAGATCCTCTTTTGAAACTTCCTAAAGAACTAATTGGCACATTAGCTAGAAAACCTGACAGATGTATAACTTCAACAACTAAAGAGTTTTAAGGGAACTTTCACTGACTGTGGTTCGTGAAGATAGCAAAATCTACCCAGGTAATATCATTCAGTGTAAGAGAAACTCCACAAACTACAAAGTAGAACATAAAAATTCATTTAGGGTAGCTCTAAAGGAATTGTTAATGAGTAGTTCCAAAAATGTTTTGATAAAAAGTAGGCACTGACAGAGTATAGAGGAGCTTTACAATATAGAATACTTACTTTTGGTTAAGTTCTAAAGTAACCATAAAGTCCTAACTACATTCCAGCCATAATTTATGCATTATAATATTGACGTGGACTAATATAGCATAAAAATCACACATTTATTAACAGATGAGACTTTTTCTTTATGGGCTATCTGCACTTTTGTAATAAGAACCCCTTAGACAACCTACCACTAAAATTAAAGGTGATAAAACTTACTCAAATCTGGCAACAGGAGGTCATTTAAGAAAATCGTTATTCTGGTTTTACTAGGGTGAAAATGAAATAGAAAAAAATCTAACTGCAAGGATGCTCTCTTAAATTCTAGTTAAATGAGCTGTACATTCTTACACCAGAAGTTCTTTGGAAGTTTTTTTTGGAGACAGGGTTTAGCTATGCAATTCAGGCTGTCCTTGGACTCCCTTTGTAACCCAGTCTGGCCTTGAACTCCCAGCAATCCTCCTGCCTCAGCCTCCCAAGCACAGGCATTATAGGCATGCGCCACCACGCCCTGCTTTACACTAGCAGTTCTTAAAACTGTGTGTTCTTCCTCTGCTGCCCAGTAAAACATTCTCTACCTTGTCAAGGGGGTACACTCAAGAGTGATTATGAGGCTATGGTTAGGGTTTCGCTATCACCACTACTAGGTAAACAACAGTACTGAAGGAAGAACAGATACACAACTAAAATGGAGAGCAGTGTACATTACTAGTGCAAGTATTAATGTTATTTTCTGCCCTTCTTAAGACACAGAAAAGACTATTTTAATGGTTTATTTATAACATTAAGTGCTAAATGCATTGTTACCTGCTAATGAAGTTTAGGAAATTCAGAAGCATGGGGAAGGTCAAGAGAACGATTATCAGTGAGACCACTGGCATCACAAACAGTCATAATCTTGAAATAGTACTGAGTACTCACTAATAAAGAAGCAATGCTCTACCACAACCTCCATAAATAAACTTCTTCTGCAGAATCTCTCAAGTTTACAGAAAGGAATATGGCAAACAGGCTGAGAGGCAATAAGTGAAAGCACTATCTGTCAATTCTAAGGAACTGGTATTTTCAGAAAAAGTTTGCACTATTTGGTCCTAGGTGGTCCCAAACTAGTAAATGGTGCACTGGCCTTCTCTAGCACTCTCAAATCATAGTATAGAATGAAAAATGGAAAGAGAAAATGGGAAAATGGGAAAATGCAGTAAAAAAGAAAGACTGTAGTGGACTGGTAAAGGAAATCACCCCTGACCTAAAGCATGAAAATATAGCAACTGAGATGACTCTGTGATTCTGAAAAGAATTAGGTGATGCTGATGTAATGATAACAGCCAGCTCAGAGACCCCACTACTTTGGGGGTTTACTCGGGAGCCAGGGATGCACTTTTCTTTTTTCATGCTTAAATGCTTAACAAAAAATGTCCTGAAAATAAACATTACACAAATTGGCTTAAAAAAACTCACAAGAAGTATCATCTATGTTAACAAAGATAAAAGATTCCTTTACTTAAAAGGTCTTTGAGTTATAATTATCAACGGGTTCAAAACTGTTAGCAGTAAGAAGAGCTTCTGAAAATCCCTCTTTTCAGCTGCTAAAAAGTAAGAGAGAACATACCCTTTTTATGTCAGTGATGGCACTCACTGAGCTGGGATACTTGAAATAATCAGCAAGCATGGCAATGAGGTGGTCAGTAATGCTAGCAATTCTCTGTAGCTCAACATCTGGCTCAATCAGATACGCGAGTGTTTCGGCTCCTTCAACTCTCTCCTCTAGTAATCTTTCCTTACTGCACATTCGAACCAAACAAGGCAATGTCTGAAAGGCAGGGAGATGAATTATTTGCTTTCTGTTAAAGGCAAAACCTTGATGAAGAGGATATAGTGATGAATCAACTCAATGTTCTGTACTGGAAATCCTGTTTGTGATTAAGTATTTCCTGTATCAACATTCAGAGACAAAAGATTTTTAAAATGCAAAAACAAAACTCAGTGCAGATTAATCATTTGAGTGGATACACTAAACTCTTATTATACCAACCATATTAATAGAAGCTTCAAAAAGCTTTTGTGATAAGATTGAAGCTTTGTTGAAAACCTTATTTAGGAATCCCCAATAAATTATATTTGATGGTTCTGCATCTGCAAGTGTATTTACCTAAAAGAGATCCAGTACTTGAATCAGGAATGACTGCCTTAGAAAAAGTGTGCTATTCTTTCCTTAGTGAACAGATGGTTGAGACAAGTTTTATTTTCTGTTTTAGAAGTTAATATCTGGAGTTGCAAAAACAAAACATAATTTTAAAAGTTTAGTGATCTTACCTTTGTCAGAGTCCAACACTTCTCCTAAAATGCGAGTGAAATGTATCAACCACAGTTGTGAGGGTTTCCCAAGAACTTCTGGAATGACTGTGGTATCCACTAGTTCAATTTTACTTCTGAGGTCCTTCAACTATCTTGGCTATGGTCTTGGTAATTTATCTATATTATGCTCTCAATAAAAACATTCCATGTATTGACTATTTCTAGGGATGATAAATCCAATTTAAAGGATAATATCAAAGTAGAAGTTGAAATGTCAGAATTACAGAAAGCCTTCTTCAACTACTGCATCAACTATGCTCTGCAGTTTTGTAAGTTTCTATTATGTTTTCACCACAGTACTTAGCACTTTATTATTCACTACTGATTTCCTACTAGGCTTTATAATTTAATTCTAGGTTTCAGAAGAGAAGGCTACCTCTCTTCCTAAAATACTATTACTAATATTGATCGATACCATAAATTCATGAAGCTTTGAATTTCATGTTCACAAGTATTACATAAAGATACTTCTATTAATGAGAAAATAAAGGTTAAGAGAAGTAAATAAACCAGTCACTTGTACAGCAGCCCTCAGCACTCCAATGCAGAGCTGTTTACTTAGGAGATCCTAAGATTTCATGAGTAAATCAACTCTCTTCACTGAAGAGTAAAGCAAAATAGTCTTAATACTCTTTTATCCTTGGACAGCAATAATGAGAGAATTCAAATTCATAAAATAATACCACAATAAATTTTATTATACTTGCTTTGTTCTTTATAGCAAATACGAAATTTAATATACTGCTACTCAGAACCACTGTGAGACAGATGAGCAGGAATTACTGCCTCTATTTTCATAATCAGGAATCTGAGCCAACAAAAGAATAAAGGACATCAAGTGAGTCAGCAGTGAGGGCATTAAAATCAGAATTCAGTTCTTAGGACTTTTAGGGATGACGTCTTGTCCAAGTTTTCTTAAGTTCAGCTGCACATTTGTTACACCACAATGGTGATGGTTGTTCTAATATGTTACTTGTTGTCTCATTAAACGTTTTATAGCTATGAGGGTAACAGGAAGTTTTTATCTACAGAACTGGCAAACTGTGTATAAGATTGTGCAGTAAACTGAATAAAAATCAAAGATTAAAATATATTTTCCATTTCACCTGAGTTCTACACTCTTTTATAATTTCTTTATCCTTCTAATTACCAGAAAAAAAAAATTGTGATAGGGAAATAAATATTTTACTTTGATGCTCCAAATACATCTAAAACCAATTTTTAAAAACTATATGGCATCTTACCAAAAAGAATGGTATTTTAATATTATTTTATGTTATACACACAAACCCTAAAGACAAATGTATAAAAAGAAATAGCAGTGCCAATATTCATATCAACATATATACCACTACATAATTGTCATGTTTTTCAGAGAATTAATTAGCTTACCTTTAATACAATACAGTTGTCATCTGTTCGAATTGCTCCAGCTCTACACATGTAAGTTAAACTGGAATAAAACGACAGAAAGTAAGTTTGTGCTTAAAATTGAAGGTTTTACAAGAAAAATTCTTTGCCTTTAAGATTTTATGCTAACAACAACAACAACAACAACAACAGAAAAAAAACAAGAACAGTACTACCATTTATTTTGAGGGACATTTTGATAGCCCTTTTCTGAAGTTTAGTCATATAAATAGTAGGCCAGACATCAGTAAAATTCTTCTAATCATAGCGTATAGGACTGAAATCTCTCTGGCTGTTATCATTATCATGAGGCTTGTTATAACTTAAAAAAAAAATAAAATAATTCATGATCCCTGAGAGATTCATCAAAAACCCCAGTTCTCTACTAGACAGCCGCAATTAGCATAGAATCCTGAACAACAGGTGCTCAGTGTATCTGTTCAATGTACCGATAATGCAGCTGTGATTCTCACTCCGTATTTCTATCTTTGTATTTTCCTGGCTTAATACTTAGCATAATATATGTTGGTTACATTTAATCTAATTTTGTTTTATTTCAACTGAAATACAAGGAGAGTAGGTTGAAGATGGAATAATCTTCTATAGTCACAGATGTTATATCAGAATTACAATTCTGCATACTGTAATAAGCCAATGGTATAAAAAACTCACATCCATTTAATATCACATGAGAAGTCACCTGACTTTCAAATTTCAAAATCTCAAAGCAAGATAGAGACTGAAAGTGAGCAAATCAGACTCTCCAAAAAATACTCTATGCTAAAAAAAACACTCTACACTGATAAAACACTATTTCTTTCCACATTGTTTTGACTTTTACCATTTTGCTGATGTGAGCTGCATCTCAATAGGCTTATCCCTCTGTAACATCTTCACAAATATCTGTGGTAACAATTCTCCATCAACCAAAACTAGAAAGAAAACAAACAACAAAGGTTAAAGAAATTCTTTAAATCTACAAAGTTTAAAAATTAAATCATGTAGAGGTGCCACTGAAAGTTCCAGCCTACCATTTACCAGGGTCATGGATACCTGGGGGTTTTCAAAAGCTAAAACGGAGAAGCATTTCAGGGCTTGCATTCGAACCTGTAAAAATAAATGAACAAATAAAATGCAGATTTATTTTATTTTTGAAATATGATTTCAATGTCTCAGAATCTTAACTTTTCTCTGAAGAAATAACTATTTAACACTGCTTAAAAAACTAAAAGTGCGACAGAGTATAGTTTAGTGGCATAGCACTTGCTTAGCATACACGAGTTCAAACTCCAGCACTGCAGGAAAACAAAACAAAACAAACAAGAAAACTGAGGTCTCAAGGGAATAACAAAACTATCTGTATATCTGAAGAGTACAGTAAAAATTAATTACAAAAAGTTAAAATTAATATTGAAGCAATAAAAAAACCAGTGAGGAAGAAATAGTAATTAAAACTAAGATAAGTCCTTACTGAAATTTAAAAGAACATTAAATAAGACATAATTTTTGTAAGACCCAAGTGGGACGTTTCTTATTCTCTTAACTACAAACCAGAGAACTGAAGAAAAGATGAAAAAAGCATTCTTGGAAATGAGTGTAGGACAGAGTGCAGGCAAAGAGGAGAGGGGAAATGACAAAAATAAAAGTTTAGAAGGACTAACTGAAATTTTAAAATATCTATGAACTGTGCTACTGTTCCTTAAAACTAGGCTATTGGCCTGTAATGGTACCAAGGGCCCAGTCCCCTGATCGCATGCAGTATGTTTTACTATATGCAGGAGTCCTAGGAGAGCTGTTATTTTTCATTCTCTCCATTTAGTTTTCATCAGATGATTTCATCCTTATTTCTGAGGCTAGGTCTATATATAACTTTCTTAGGAAGTTGGCAGACACAGGGAATGTGAAGAAGCCCTGTCCCGCATCTGGACGATGCTCTGTAACACTAGCATGTCCCCACACGTGGGCCACAGAATAGATGACATAGGTGATAAAGCAACGAGTAATATGAACACTTTCCCTTCTAAAATCTCTAAGTTTTAACAATTGTTAAGTCTAGTGCAGAAAGGATTAGAAATGGAGAAAGAACAGACGGAATTAACGAAGCCTAAGAATGGCAAAGTGAAGGGACAATAAATAGCTGCCCCAATCACTGCTTCTTAATGTGCAAGTGCTAAGTGATTTCGGCCTCTGCATAGCAGAGGGCAGAGGAAATAGTTCTGGTATATACTTCCTTCTCCTGCCTCTGGTTAGTTTTAAGCTGTCTCCCCCATTCCTATCCTTATAAGTTCTCCACCAAGACTGAACTTCAGATATCTGAGGTAGGAGAAACAGACTTTCCTGAAATAAAGCTACAGACCAAAAGAGCAAGTGACTGCTTCCCAATTTTGCTATATCCAGCTCTAATGTGACACAAGGATAATATCCCAGTATTTGCTAAAGCTTGGTAGCTGGGCAATAATGAACACCCCAAGTTTGCATTCAGTGCCTAAGTCTGAGAACTCTTGACTTTTTCACTCAAAATACACAACAGAATACATTTTAAATGTTGATGTATATGTGGGTATATGGTATGAGTTTGAGTCACTGAAGCTAAAAAGGGCTTCATACAGGAAATCTACAGTCCTTCCTGATACAGCCAGACACTGGTATTTGAAAGTGTTACCTCAAGCAACAGCTTGAAACCTAACCAGGAAAGATTTGAAGTAACTGTTTAACAGGTGAAAATCATTAGTACAACCATATCTTGAAAAAAAATGTAAACAGAAGGGCACCTCTTTGTTTTTTTTCAATAAAAGAACATTTGTAAGTAGCATAAATCCCTTAACACTTTACTGATAAAACACTACTGATCACAATACCTATCAAAGAAGCAAAAAAATATTTGGGCCTCTTTCTATACACCAAAAACAAGATAAAAATTTAGCCTTATTTTTAACATCTTACTTTATAGGACAGTGAGGTTAGCAGGTGAGCAATATTCTGAACTGCACCATGGTTAAATAAAATTGTTTGATGATCTGGCCCCTGTAAGAAAAGAAACAATAATACATTAAGAAAATTATAATTCATTTTAATAAAACCATATTCACTTAAATGTAGAAAGCTAGATGCACTACAGTGTGGATTTCTCAGTTACCCTTGGCTTGCAAAACTCTATCCCAAAGATCAGTTCCCCAGAAGGGACTGCCATATCTGACCTCACCCCAGTTCTGCAACTGCTATCTCTTTGCCTTCCCCATATAAGGAAGGGAATAGAGAAGTTACCCTGGAACAAGCCTTTCCAATTATTATATAGCATATTACCATAGCCAACAGAGTTACTGTGAGTTCTGCAATTCATGTGTGTATCATTTCCCTATATGCCCAAGGAAAGAGTGACACCATCATTCTTACAACTCAAGATTGACAACTACTCAGAGGAAATTTAAAACTAATTGCAAGAGAACCTAACCTACCACAACACATCACAGAGGGTTTCAGTAATGTACTATCAAGAAGAAATAGAACACTCCATAGCTGAGAAGTAAATGTACCTTGGGTTCTCTATTTCTCATTTCTCTTTTTAAAATGACTGCTTCTTAGAGTAGGAAGATACAGACACAGCATGTAAAGGTATTTTATTTTTCACCAACTCTGTCTGTTTTCTATCCTTTGATTCTTAACAAGTTTTCTCCTTTTGTCTTCTGCAAATCAAGCTACATGCACCTATAGGTCAGTGAGGCAGCAGCTATTGTGTGGAAAGACATGAGTTCTTGTGGTCTTAAACTCTCCAAAAACTCAGAAAACCCCAAAGTCAACCTGAGTAACTAACTGCTTAAGAGCTGGCAATAATGCAGAAGTGACAGTTTCAATCAATATTAGAAGCCTGTTTTTGTCCTCTAATAAGTCTACCTCTATATGTACAGATTATCTTTGGAAGGACACACAAACAAGGCACGTCTCTTAAGAGCACCTAAGATGTTACATTACAGAGAACATTTACTCTGGTTCTTACTTTACAGCAGTGTGAGAAGATCTGACAGATATACTCCTGGGTATAGCGGGACCTGCTCAGCAGCGCCATGAGGTGTGGGATCACTGTGGCGTCCTGGAGTGAAAGGAAAGGAAAGAATGACAACAAGAAACAAAGACACTGTGCATACATTGACAAAGGGTTTCTGTGAGCAGGAGCACAGAACTAAATGCTAGCACATTGGGGAACAGAGCAAAACAGAAGCAGCATGGCCATTGAAACTGTCTAGACAAAGAACAAGGAAAAGGACTTGCATATTTATGTCTCAAAATGAAATACAAGGGCAGGAAATTCAACTTCCCATAAAAAGCCCTATATCCTCAAAGTAGAACAGTCTCCATTTTTAACAATTTTATTAAAAATAAGTATAATAAATTCATAACAAAATAATAAGAGAATAACTATAGTTAATACATTGCATATTGTCATCTTCAAAGTAGTTACTCAGAGTACAAGATATGGGTATAAAAAAATTCTCCAGTCAATATTAGCACAAACCTTCCTTTGCAATGAACTATCAAAATATAACAATCTCATTTCAGTAAGACCTGACAGAAATCAGATCTGAAATAAAATTGTGAAGTGATTAATAAGATATACAATAATGGCTCATAAGCAAGAATTACTACATAAAAACTTAACAATTTTGATCTCAAGATGTTATAGTAAGAGCAGTAACTACTACAATCTCTTATAACAGTGACTTTAGCTATTTCCAATCTACATGAGACAATTTACATGATTAGCAACTTTTCACATAAAGCCCACTATCTGACTACTGCTAACACTTAGATGGTAGCATAGGAAAGATAAGAATCAACCTCCCCTGCTGCAGGGGGTTCCCCAAGAATTCCTTATATAATGCCAAAGAAATTCACACTGAAGGAGAATTGGGCCTGATGCACAGATGAAAAAGGAAACTTAGCTTAAGCCTTCTAGTCAAAGCTGTTGGGAGTATTACAACTATGCTTTTCTCAAGTACAAATGTACATGTAAATTTCCAGGGAATGTTACTCATTTACACATTCTTATTCCATAGGTTTGGGGTAGGACCTAAGAGTCTACACCTTAACTGGCTCCAAAAAAGGCTTATTTTCCCAATCCACAGACACACTTTGAAGACCTTCACAAATAATAACAGGGGCAAGAAATAAAAGAACGCCCAAGGGCTGGGTATGTGGCTCAGTATTAGATACTTACTTAGCATGCATGAAGTTCAAGGTTCAAACCCAGCACATACATACATACATATATACATAAATGGAAAGGGACACCCAAGATATATAAAAGTAGGAAAATAAAAAGCTGTTGATTCTCTAAAAGTGGAAACTTTTTCCCATTTGTTAGTATTGCCTTCTGTGTTGTCATAAGGAATTTAAAAAACAAAATGCAAAACTCAGAAAACCCCAAAGTCAAGTACTAAGTAAGTAGTAAGGAAGAGAGACAATGAGAAGATTAAGTAGGGGGAGGGGAAACTGTTTCCACTGACAGAAAATTTGGAAGCAAGGAGCAGCAAAGACAGAACAGGCAGTAGATAAAAGGACTCTGTTAGCCTCCTCGAAGTTATCTCTACCTCTTTCCTTTCCTCCACTGTTGTCTTGGTCCCCAATTTCCCACAGTTTTAACATAACCCATCCCGTATCTGCACACCTGCTCCCTGTCTGTCAGTGTGTTTATATATCTGCAGCTTACAGATGACTGAACAAGGCAGAAAACAGTTATATAAACTGGGTATGGTGGTGCACATCTGTAATCCCAGCACTCTGGGAGGCTGAGGCAAGAGGATTGTAAATCTGAGCCCAGTCTGTGTAACTTGGTGAGACCCTGACTCCAAATTTTAAGAAAAGCTGGGGATGCAGGTCAGTGACAAGGTACTGGGTTCAAACCTCCAATACTACAACACAAAAAGAAGTAACAAACAATCCCCCACAAAAAACTCAGTTATATAACTGCCCAAAATTACCCATCTGATGAACAGGATTTCAAATTAGAAATCCTACCCTTTTATTCATTTTTTTTTTTTTTTTTTTTTGGTACCAGGAATTGAACTTAGGATCTTATGCTTGCCAGGGAGATGCTTGTACTGCTGAGCCCTCTCTCCAGCCCTACCCTTTTCTGACTAGACTGTCCTGTCTCTATTTCATGCTTGACTTGCTACTTCCAACTAGTGAGTTACAAGCCAACTCACAGTCAGTTCACTACACTGAAAGATTGCTCTCTGTTGGTTATCCCTTCATCTAACACTTTTAGGATTCTTTATTGTCTCTGAGGTATAAAAATCTGAGGCATCAAATGGAGACATCTCATAATTTAGATTATCTCACTGTGTAAATTTAACCTCCCTGTGTCTTAATTGTTCTCATGTAAAAAAGTTAAGTTGGCCTAAACCAGATGTTTCCAAACTATGCACCGTGATCCATTAGTGAGCCATGAATCAGTTTAGAGAGTGAAGAAGGAGTTCAAACAGCTGGCTAGAATCAATTACTCCATCTATTCACCCTGGGCTGCGGTGGGTGAGAAATTCCTAGAGTACAGCAGACAGATGACTGATTTTAACTTCTATGTAAAGATGATAATATGATTTCAGGGACACAGACCGATACTAGCTAAGTCCCCCTCTAAGGAACACTTTAATAGAATGCACTCCACAGACCTGAAGTGAAAGCTCATGGGCTCCACACCAGACTGATCAGAAACTCTAGAGGGGGTACCCAGCAATCTGTGATTAATAAATCCTCCAAGTAATTTTGGGACATACCCAATTAAGAACTATTACCATAAACAATCTATGGATTTATGGGGCATGACTTCTTGAAGGATGTCACACAAAACTCTGAGGTATCAAATTAAGATGTTTCATAATTTAGACACTTACTACTATGTAAAGTGATCCACACATCTCACTTACAGGCCATGTGTGTCACTGAGGACAGAGAGTATGTGTCTAATGAAGAAAGGATGGACTGTGAAGTCACAGGACATGCTCCCTCTCACACTTGCTGTGCCTATGCCGCTCTTTGCTTATATTCTTGAAATACTTTATTCTGGCTAAGATCTCAACATCTCTGATTTTTATGTATTGTATTTGACAACAGATTCTTCAAGTAAGCTCAGAATCACAACTGGCATGTTTTTTAAGAAAATGAAAAACAACAAAATAGAAAGCAGAGGGCATCACATTTGTGTAACTCTGCTGTGGTATTTGTCCCGGGATAGAAACACACACATACAAACGAATTCATATGTGAATGACAAAGCAACGGAAATATATTTTTTACTGTGGATTGTAGGCATTAAGAGTCTTATCAGTAGACTAAAAGATCCCTTCATAATTCCCCAGGCTTTCGAAAACCACCGACTGACTCCAAACATCCCTGGGTTCTCTTTCACAAGTATTCTTTGATTCTAGCTGGTAAGTAAGCCTCCTGGAAACTGGTTCTTCTCCCACCTTTTTAGCTGGAACCTCCCCATAGCAGATCATTCTGCCTACCAACTGTAATTCTTACACAGACCCTTCCCAGAATGGCCTCCTTCCTATTACTTTTTTTTGGTTCCGGGAATCAAACTCAGGACGTTGCACTTGCCAGGCAGGCGTTTATGCCACTGAGCTATATCCCCAGCCCCCTCTCTACTTCTTTGAATCTTATCCATTAAGAGCCAGGTTAAATTCTACCTTCTCTATAAAAGCTGCTCTCCTGGACTTGAACTCAAACTGAGTAGCATAAAATACACTCTATTAATTTTGTCACATGAAGAGATAAATGGCCCCTTTTTCTTTTAACAACTTTTAAATTCCTCAAGGTCTAAACTACTGCTCACTTATTCACAAAACCTAAAACATTTGATACTTATTAAGGAATAACTCAAACACCTCTTCAGACTTCTCTACATAACACAATTAGGAATTTGGAAATGCTAAGCCAATTAGGGTAGGCGATCAGTGAAATATAATTAACGACTCAAAAACATCCAAAACTCACTGTATACAGTAGCTCCTCTGGAGTGACAGGACTGGTAAAGATGGTACGGAGGCATCGGAGGCAAGCTTCAATGAACTTCAGGTCTGGGGACAGTAGTCCTATTAATGGAAATTATATGAAATTCATCCTTTCAACCAGAATTTAAAGCACTGCAAAATAATTTTAATCTTTACTGATGTAAAAATGGTACCTTACACACCTTGCAGTAAGGCAGGGATAATATGGCAGTCCAGCAGAGACTTGACGTTATTTTCAGTACCCATAGCAAGACTTCCCAGTACCACCGCACACTCAGTTTTTAGCTCAGTGCTTGACGTTTCTTGCTGAAGCAAATACAATAATCTAAAAAGAAGGACCTTGATAAACAAAGAGACTAAATAATGTGTTAAAAGAGGGCTACCAATATATTCTACACACTAGAAACATGGTTGGCTGAGATTTTTTAATCCTTCTGAGTAATGGTTATTTATTTATACCATCTGCTAATTCAATAAAGAAACATCTGGAAAAAGTCTAGAAGAGATTTTCTTCATTTTGAACAAAAGGACTATCACAATAATCTCAAAGTTTACCAAACTGCAGATGTGAAGGTTGTATACATGAGGTCTATGGAGAAATTAAACTATAATCCATGTTATTTGCTACTTCTTGGGGAGGGGGTGCTTTTCATAATATGAAAGCTCCCAATGTCAGGTACTGCTGAATATTAAACTCAAGCTGAAAATGGGCCCTGAATAGCTCTGTAGTGTTGAGACAGTGGAGGCCTAGCCAAAGTTATAGAATACTCAGTTCTTTGTTTTAAATGTTTAAGTCTATTAATCATTTGTATTTATTTTTAATTTTTTTAAAATTTTAAACATTATTCATACATGTTTGCAGTAGATAATGATTATATTCATTATAGGGAGGGGGTCTTTTTGGAACCAGGAATCAAACTCAGAATCTCTCGCTTGTCAGGCAGGTGCTGTACAGCAGAGCTATATCCCTGGCTCCCGAATACTCAGTTGTTATACAGCTCTTCAAGCAAAGAAAGTTTATTCCTCTGTCCAAATCTTTCTCTGCCCAGTCTTTCAAAGAATCAAGCAGGGCTTTTTGCTTGTTTAGCAAGTAGTCGCTAAACCCTACCCCTTTATCACGTACGACCATCTCCCTCTATGTTCCCTAAAACACAAATCTCCTAAGAAAGGCTGCTCAGAGCTCTATGACTACTAAAGGATACATTTGAATTTGTTAATGTTAAAAACATTAAAACCATTAAGCCTGTATCAAGAGAAAAAAATCAAAACTTCAAAGTCCAAAGAAAACTTACAGTAAATGTATATAAAACTTAGTTTTGTGTAGCAAATGAGACAAAGAGAAATTATGTAACTATTATTGCCTACCAAAATGAAGCTCATTAGGTGATCGGAAGAATAAATCAAACTTCCTATGTTAACTTAAAAAACAGAAAATTCTTAAAATCAGAAAAAAAGTAGGATGAAAGAATCAAGCAGGGTTTTCTAAGGTCTTGAGAATCCTAATAAATTACCACCCACGCAAAAACTGCAAGGGCCCTAAGGAGATGGGGAAGAAAGTATCGGGCTGGTGTGCACTGCTTGGGTATTCCACAAACTCTTGTATTCTAAGTCAATGACCTGAAAAGTGAATGTATTAATACTTTCACTTTTTATTCCATTTTCTGGTATTATACTATATATATTTTTTCCTTAGAGATGGTTCATGTACTTCAAAAAATTTCCTTTTTTAAAAAAAGGATTCATTTTTAAAATAGGAAACATAATATTAAAAAGGAGATCTTACTACTGGGGATAAGAAATACATCTGAAACATAGCATGAAAGGCAGAAAAGGGGATTAGGTACTAAACATACCTTGGAACAGCTCCTAAAACAATGAGGTTCGCTTTCTGTTTGTTGTTTCCAATGACAGCATTTTTCATGTCTCTGAATTCAGAGGAAGACAAAAAAGTGCAGTGTTGAGACATCACAGAGAAACACCAAAGCTCAACTTATTCCACTTTACCATACTATATCCTGGATTGGCATGTACAGAAATTAGTGACAAAGTCAAAGCACTAACCTTTTCTACCTGGTGGGCTAAAGAGATGGGACAGAGATGGGGGCCAAGTACCTGTGGAAGCGGTAGGACAGGAGAGCAGTGTACAAAGTAGGAGATGCCCTGAGTAATGGCAGAGACTTCATTACGGACGAAGTCGAGTTCTTCTAGAAAGGGTACCAGTCCTTTGCATATAAAGGAATTTAGGCCACCTTCAACACTTACAGCTCTGGGAGAGGGGAGAATAAACCACCAGCTCACGGCACTTATCTGACCCTGTATCAGAGATCATGTGTGCTTCAAGAGCCTTGCAACTGTGCTTCCCTTTACCATCCTTTCTTTGTGCTACTGTTGTCATCAACTGTATTTTAAAATTGCTTAGAAACAACACAGTACACTGTTACTATTTTGTTTAAGCAGTTATCTTTTGAGAGTAATAAAAATTACTAAAACTACCCATATTTCTCATAAACAGCATTCACCACTCTCTTTTATTCTAGCTACAATTCATCAGGAATACAACTATTCCACAGTAAGAATACCTCTACCAATGACAAAGAAGTTCATAAATTTGTGGTTGGTTCCAGAGCACATATAAGTAAAAAATAACTAGCTTAAAATAAACACAGAACTATTGGTCAGTACTGTTATCTTCATATAGAACACTACAAGCTTCTATACAATAGAGATTTCTCAAAGTGGGAAGGAGGATATTTGCCACCCCCAAGAGGTATTTCACAAGTCTGTAAGAATGTCTGGAAATTTCTGGCCGTTGGATTACAAATAAAAACCTCTTTTTGCATAGTTTTCTTTTTTAATACAGTACTTGAATTTTTCAGTATTGGTGGCTTTTTTTTTTAATTTTTAGAAACATGGTCTCATTATGTAGTTCAGGCTAGCTTTGAACTCATTATGTAACCCAGGCTGTCCTTGAACTTTCAGTGATCCTCCTGACTCAGCCTCCCAAATGCTGGGATTAGAGGCGTGTACCACCACGCCCAGCTGAATTTTTCAGTATTATACTTACCCTACAAATAAAAGGGAGACATACTTTTTATCAAAAATTAATCATTTTGGAAAATCAGATCAAAAGTTCAGTGGCTCTCATTGTATTTGAGTCACCTGTGCCACACATACACAACCTGTGTACATTTGTAGTTCTTGCTACACCTCAGTAAGTGTTTCACTGTAGTTTGGTTTAAGTATTAACAGTGCAATGTAATAACTTATATTTTTATCTTTTATATTATAAGAAAGGAAGGCATTATATTATTGTTGAAATTTTGTAAGTATCATTACTATGAGTTTAATTTCAGAATAGTAACAGAGTCTTTACAAAATATTTAAAATAGGAAGTCTGAGAGTATGAAGATCATTGTAGGTAACACTGAAGTTTTTAGCTCACCCATATTTTTCATATCCCCATTTGGTAAGCATCTGAATTTCTTTCTTTTAAAATAGCAAAGGTCTATAATTAAAAGCAATGCTTTTTGGCCAACCTTCAAAGTTATAATTCTAAGAAAGCTGCACAGTTTGCAAAACAAGTCTTGTAGAAAGTAAAGGGCAGGGAGTTACTTTAAAAAAAAAAAAATCAACAAATAAGTATATATTTCTAACACCACCATATTCACTGGCATTTAATACCTGGTAATGGACTAGCGGTACAGTTCACTGTTAGAGCACCTTCCTAACTTGCACAAGATCTTGGGTATGATCGCCAACACCACCACCAAAAAAGTATTAATCCTTCCCCACAATTATCACCTTCAATTATTACAGGAAAAAAAAACAGATAAGAACTAGGGAAGTGTTAAAAGCAGATTCTTCCCACAAGTTTTTGAAACAGCATCTTTATAAGTCTTGAGCCAAACACTGAAACTACCTGCTTTTTTCTTCCATTAGCTCTATAAGAGTATATCTCACAGAGTCTGATTTACCCCTCTGAAAACTATCCTTCAGATCTTCTACATGGTTAAGATAAGTAACAATGTTTCATATGAGACTAAACTGAATGAAGTTTGCTGAAGTTTTTACCAAGTTCTGATACATGATTCAAATAAAGCAGTTATAAGAAACTACATCTAGGCTCCTGCCTTCTTATGAATGCCTGTTGTTTTCTTATGGGCTTAGTTTCAATTCATTAGCTTAGAGATCTTAACCTAGCAGCTAGTTATTTACTTTCATTATCTTTCCTTCTCTTAATGTGTCCCTGCCTACACTAAATGCAGCACGTTTGCTTATCCAGCAGCTATATGTTTAGTATATTTTGTGCCAGGTGTTATTCTGGGCATTCTACCGTATTCTACAACTCTAAAACCTAGTATTTCCCATTTCCTCTCTCTTCTTCCTAAACTAAGCAGAAATGAGGTATATGTATGTCCCTGCATAACTTTATAAACATATTCCAAACATCTAAAGTAAATGTTTTTATAGATAAAAGCAAAAACCCTCCAAAACCAATTTTCAGCTTGTTCTTGCCCCTTCCTTCCACATGACAGGCAATCACCTCTACCCCTGAAACACATCCTAGGCCCTCCAGTCCTCTTAACAGTTTACCGACAGGGCATGAAAGAGGCATCTGGTGGCTACAGAATAAATACAGACTACAGAAAACACAATACAGTAGAGTAATGTCTAAGGAAAAGGACTTTTGGCTTTGTCTCCAATAAGTAAATGTACCTGTGCTAAAAGGGGAAAAAAGATGACAAGGCCAACATGTAAGTTCTACTCAGTGGTTACAAAAAGGGATGCGCCGGCAGATCATCACTAAAACATGTTAAAATGAGATGACAATGGTCATGTTTTGCCTATTTCTAACAGATGTAAGTATGGTGTGGTCCAGCTGTCTGTCCCTTAACATTTTCTTACCCCTTCCTTAGAAGTTGCCTTGGCTAACTTCCGGTCCTCTGGGAAGCATGACCCCAGCCCTCCAGGTCTGAGTTAGGAGTCCCTACTAGAAGCCCTCTATCATAACACACTCACTTTATTAGAAGTCTGTTCCTCTTTATAAGGAATAAGGTACACCTGACCTGGAAATATCAGAGAAATTACTATCAAAGGATCATTAATTAGTGATTCTAGAAAGTACATCACATAGGAATATGTATTTTTATAAAATCCAAACTCAACTATCATCTAAGATGTGACCAAAATAAAACTATCCAAGATTGATATATCATCTTAATGCTTATGAAGCATTCCATATACACTACTTTATTTCATTTCCATCACAACCTTGAGTAACAATGACTATACTATTCACTCTTTCATCCCTTCATACTAGCACAGTGGCTGGCAGTTGGCAGGCACTCAATATATGTTTGCTGAAGGAATTAATCAACTCACCTAGGTATCTTATTATACAAACGTGATTAGGGTAGCAGAATTGGAATCATTAATACAAAGGACACTTTGAGGAAACAGATAAGATGATTTCATAGGTACAGGAAAGGTAGTATGTGGCATGTTGTGAGTGATTACTTTGTGTGTAGACACAGAAAACACCATGAAACTTAAGAGAAAACAAATCCCTCAGCAAAGCAAAGACTATCTTTATTTCAATAGACTGTATTACCTTTGAGGTGAAATAAGAATACCCAGTAAAAGGGCAAAAAAGGAAGCGTTGAGGATATCCCACTTTTGGGGGATGGCAGAAGTCAATACTAGGATGTTCTGAACATGAATTTGTGAAGTAACAATTTCAGTTAAAATCTAGATAGAATCTTAAATTTTTGTGCTTAATAAATGGACTTAAGAGGCACCCACTTTTACATGGAGGTTAAACTTTCTACTTCATTTCCTTTCTTTGCTCTGAAAAAGATTAATTAGAGAAACAGGGCTCAAATAATAGAACAACAAGTACAGTGCCTACCATAGCACATGTCTAAATTATAGCATTATCAAGGTGGTCAATACAAAAGAGAAATTAAACACTAAATTTTGCTATTAAAATAGTAGCAAAAGTTTTTTAAAAAGGGTTTGCAATCTAGGTTTGCTAGAGAAACAGTTTCAGTCAATCAGGTATATTTATCTCAGTTAAATGATAGCATAAATTTTAACAGAAAAACTATTATCGTCTAAAAACAAAACTATCTTTAAAGTATTAAAGACTAGAGACCTAAAGATCAATCATATAATTTTCATTCTGAACCAGAATTAATTACACTTTTTACTTATACTATCTATAATCTTTTTTGCTCTAATATAAAGTAGCCAAACATTATCTTGGATACTGAAAACTACAATTTCAGTATAAGGTTTGACTTATTTATGAACATTCACTGTGTGAAACAAATTTCACCTATACAATAGGGAAAAACACATACTTGTGGATAACTGACAAGAAGGCAACATAGTAAAATTATTTGAATGCTGAAAATGACAAACATACTATTCTGCCCCTTTAATTATTATAATGCTCTTTTTGGAGACTGAAGCAGCTAAACATCCAAGTATAATAAGATTTGTTTCCAAGCAGAGTTAAGAAATGAAATATACAAACTTATATTCCAACTAAAGCATATTAATATTCATGTTATTGTTCACATCTCAAATTAACAACTGAGCATGTGCAAGTTGCCAATGTAGAAAGAATTAGACAATGATGATCTGCTGTTCAAACTAAAGTTATTTTTACATAATTCAGGAAGCAAACATTTTATAGCAAACTATATCAATTTAACTTAGGCATTTATTATATATGACTGTATGTATAAATTGAAAAGATCTGAGAATTTACAGCAACTTAAGTTTCATTTTTATAAATAAATTACTGATGTATATTTTTAGAATATATGTAGTTTCAGATATAGTTGATTTATATAAAATCATTAAAAATTTAATGCAAATATTTAATCTTTCTATATAGCATCTTTTTTTGTTTTTTGAA